TTTACTTACAGTAAGAGTATACTTACTCTTAAGTACAAACATGACCCTAAAATATTGACCTTCATCTAATCTTTGTCTAAAGCTGTTGTAATTGGCTGTTGCATTACATCTCCCTGATGAACAGCTTGTTATATACATGTATACCAGGTATATATATGTATAGACTGTGAACATTGTAAAAGTCCTTATCTGTGGCATGCTTGTGTGGTACAATATGTATTTGTGTCAGTGAACACATATCCTTGAGTTCATTATCATTAGTTATGTTGTATGTTCAGGTTTAAATAACAGATATTTTGTGTTCTCTTGGCATACTAAGATAACTTTAAAATGGACACCCAGGTATGTTTATATATATACTTACATATTTTGAATATGGAAGTATCTTATATGTTACATAATTTTTGTGTAATGTATTAAAGTGGTTTTAATGTAAACTATATGTATATTGATTAATACTTACATATATAATATATTCTACCTTTACATGTCAGTGTCACTATAGTTGTCATCATACTGCCACATGTCTTACTGAAAAAGTCAAACCATATGTCACATTAAATATCTGTTATTGCTGTATATTTATATACTACAATGTTTAAGTTATATTCCACCTATATACGGTATACTGAGTTCATTGATTTTTCTACAGTTACCGATAAACGATAAAGCACATTATGTTTGAATTAATATATGGAATCATAATAAAAACGCTTTGCAAAATATAACACATTCAAAAATATATTACTGATTAATACAATGCATTAATGAAAAATGATATATTTAGTTCATTGACTTTCTACATTTATCGTGGGGTTGGATGGCCAAATGGTTAGCACGTGTGTTCTGTATCATAAGGCCTCTCATTGAGTCAACTGGCGTGGTTTCGAATCCCCGGTTGTACGTGACAAGGAGTAGGGTTGCCTGTCCAACCTCGTGGGTTTTCTCCGGGTCCTCCGGTTTCCTCCCACTGCTAAAGACCCCTACGCGCAAGCGAATTATTGAAATAAAATTCAACCATGTGTTAGTCCCGAAATGACCTGGTTTGTGTCGAGTGGACGTTAAACCCCATTTCTTTCTCTCTCTCTTCTACATCAATAAACCATATATAGAATTGTAATACATGTAAAACACATGCTATATATAACACATTTAAAGATATGTCACTGATTAAAACTGAAAATAAGATGCATTTATGAAAAATTATATGAATAGACCTAGGAATGCAATGATGTTTTTCAGCATGTAATAATTGAAATAAAAATATTTTTGTTGTCACCCAGTAGAATGGTGTCAAACATTCAAACAGATTAAGCAATATAAACAAAGAAAAAAACATAAAGATTTCATATGTGTGGCTAACCTTCATAACAGTTATAATTCCTTTGTAGGATTACTCTTGGTCACAGAAGGGGGTGGGGCCCAGTGGGGGGGGGGGGGCTAATGGTCCTGTGCATGCACTTTACATCATAAGATTTGTCATTGAGTCAAATGGCATGTTTTCAATCCCACGCTTATACATGACCAGAGTAGGGTCACCTGTCTAGCCTCATGGGTTTTCTCTGGGTCCATATTGTACCATGTGTTAGTTCTGAAATGACCCAGTTTGTGTTAGTGGATTTTTAAGACTCACGTAGAAGACTTTTAAATTATTTTAATACCTACATTAACTCACTAGATGTGTAATTTGATATATTGTTATCTAGTTTATGTAATATGTATAGAAAACATATTTTGACATATTTTGATGAAGTTCGTTATATAACTGTATAATAATATGCAGATTAATGTTTCTGCTTTTAACCTACCTTTATGTAAAATATATTATAGTGTAGTTGGATTTAAGGCCCTTCATCAAATGAATTAAATTATTATTTAATGTCTGTTTCTGTTGGGACTGCATCAGTTTTGGCCTTAGTCAAACCGGATGTCTCTGTTTTTATGTTTGTCGGTTATTCTATATTTAACAGGTAGATAAATGGAATTAATGGAATTGAATGTTGAATCTTAAAAATAAACAAAAAAATTATCATGAACTTTAGAAATTCTGTATTTAGTTTTATTAATTAGTTTACTTATTTAAATATTAACTATATATAGTGATACGGCAGGATATTATTAAGACAAATCTTTGTTTTGTTAGACAATTACAATAATTTTAAGGTGAAACAGTGAAAAGTTTTTATTTTATTTTATTTTAGCGCTTCCTTATTATTATCATTTGTACTCAGACAAGAAACTTTCAAATTTGTTCTTTAATAAGTAAGCATTTTATATGGAAAGATGAAAAAAATGTGAAAAGATTGTACTTGGTTATAGACTACAATTACTGATATAACAACACAATTGACGTATATAAACTTCATGAGTGTTTTATTTTCTCATGTCCTGTTAAATTATTTTGACTAATATTTGTGTTCACTTTCTTAAAATTGAAAGAAAGTAATTTTTCAGTGAAAGGTTTGAACATCGAATTTCAATGTTTTACTGCTTTAAAAAAATAAATTTGAATAAGTTATAATACAAGATCGTCATTCTAGGTATCAGATTAATACATTGCTACTAAACCGTATGTAGTTACTACGCTGTCAAATTACTATTATCAGTATAAGGATATGCCAGAGTAAAAGATTGCATAGCTTTAGTTGGTTATGTTTCTTTTTAAATTTACATATATAATTACAGTTCACAATTAAAGAACAGCCCATACCCCATCGATATTTTGCAGATAATTGGACATTCCTCAGCAGACCATGTCACATGTAGAATGTGGTTATCAATTCCTTTTTATACACCTACGGTACATGGAAATGTGGTCGTATATTGTGGTCGGTCCATCCGTCTTCCACAATTTCTTGTGAACACTCTACAGACTACATTTATCATCTGATTGTTTTGAAATTGATATATGTTGTTTGCATTTGTGAGATGGAGAAGCCTATTTAATTTCAATAACTTCTGTTAATTTCTTCAGGATTTATGGCCCTTGTTTCACTTTGTTGCACCTTGTGAATGCTCTAACGACAAAAGTTATCATTCGATCTGTATGAAATTTATATGGATCGTTTAAATCAGTACAACGAAGAAGCCTATTGAACTTCAGCAATTTCCATTAATTACACCTAGAGTTATGGCCCTTGTTTCACTTTGTTGAATCTTGTGAATGCTCTAATGACAACAGTCATCATCCGATCTGTATGAAATTTATATATGCATCATTTAGATTAGTGAAACGAAAAAGCCTATTGAATTTCAGCAATTTCCGTTAATTATGCCTTGAGTTAAGGCACTTGTTTCTCTTTGTTGAATCTTGAGGACACTCGAACGACAAAAGTTACCATCCAGTCTGTATGAAATTCATATGCATCATTTAAATTAGTGAAATGAAAAAGCCTATTAAATTTCAGCAATTTCCGTCAATTACGTCTAGAGTTATGGCCTGTGTTTTATTTTATTGAACCTTGTGAACAGTTGAACAACAAAATTTATCATCCGATATGTATGAAATTTATATGCATCATTTAGATTAGTGAAACAAAAAGCCTATCGAATTCCAACAATTTCTGTAGATTACTTCCAGAGTTAGGACCCTTGTTTTAGTTTATAGAACCTTGTGAACCCTCAAACGACAAAAATTATAATGTCATCAGTATGAAATTGTCTATTACATGCCCCTAATTACCTACATGTACAAAAGAATGAATATGTGACAACCCTTGTTGACCGCTTGGACGATTTAGCTGCTGTCAGCATATGTTTCGTTGCCTGGCAGCCTATCTTCTGAATCAATCAGTAGAATATTCTAAAACATTGACATTTGATGAAAATCAGGATTGAGCTTGGCATTACATCTTACAACAATCAAAATAATCATTACAGTTATCTCCCATGATCCACGACGATTCAGCGAGTAAGGAGATGGTTCACTAACCACTAGGTCGCAGGTTCAATCCTAATGTTCCTCAGGAATTTCAAGCCTGATTTCCCCTTGTCAGTGGAGCAGGACAGAGGGTCTGGCAATGAACAGCGCCTATTTATTTGAATAGGACCGAAAAAAACATGCGGCATATTCACATTTCCTATGATAGGACCAAAAAAAACATGCGGCATATTCACATTTCCTATGATAGTGTTATAATTTAGAACAAATGAGAATAGTCCATACATTAGTAATCTATGTTTTGTATATTATAACTTTGGTGAGAATAACTTCTGTTATTCTTATTAATTAATTCGCAACTTAGTTATCAGGACATTAAGATTGTTGATTGGGTAATCAAGTTTAGTCTCTTGATGATCAAAGAAGTCGCCACAGCTGTATGTGTAACGTGTGAATTAAAATAAGGTTTTGCATGTACAATAGGTCTATTGCAATCTGATTAAAATACAAATCTATGTTCTGTTTCGTTTTTTATACTTTCGATGGCCTACACTACATAAAGATCTGACAAATTGTAGTGATAGGTCGCGTCAGAGATCATAGGAGCGGCTTTTGAGCCTATGACGTCGGACATTTGATTAACCAAGCTCGCCGTAACAGACCGTTTCATTGGCTAATCCCTCACACCATTCAGAACACGTCAATCTTAACCTCTTCCAGATCCTAGTGTAGCAAAGACAAGTAAAACGATATTTTGAACTATAAAAACGAAACGAAATAGGATCTGTGTTTTAATCAGATTGGATCTATTGTTATATTCAAGAAAATAAGAAAAAAGAAAGGTGTATGAAAATGGTACTCTTAAAAAACGACCAAATAAAGGTGTTTCAAAATGTTTTATTGCGATTCTGATCTTTTGGGTTGAATAGTATATTTATAGACCCATTTTCACTTGTTTTGTCTGTAGCTCATTATTAGACTTTGCGCATTCCGACTCATTTTGCAAGCATGGGTCACAAATGTCTAATTAATAGTTTATATAACATTTTAGGCCTAAAGAAAGACCTGCAATAGGCAGATTTAGCTCTTGAATAATACCTGTTTAATTGATGTATTTCAGGAGGAAATAAAAGAAGAAGAAATGGAGAGAAGAACTGTGATAGGTGTTGAAGGAATGACCTGTCAATCATGTGTTCATACTATAAAGACAGGTCTAGAATCAGAAAAAGGTGTACTAAACGCACAGGCAAGTTTACAAAATATTCTCTTAAATTGCAATAAGTATTAAAGATATCAACAATATACCAGATGGTAAATTTATTAATAACAACATTGTTAATCTAGCAAAATGATGGATGTGTACATCTGCTCGTTCAGATCACCAAGAAAACGTGAACACTGTGATGTCATTAGCAATTATAGAATGCCATGTTGATTGGAATACAATCAGATAATTCGTTTACGAACAAAAGACATATTTCGTACATATTAGGTTTGTCAAGTTAAATTTAGTATTGATTCATAAATTTGCATATTTTATTCCCAAAATTCAATTTCACATCTCCATTTAGAGTACATGTATGTTTAAATGTAAAATAAATTTCTGATTTTGCCCAAACTTGAGAAAAGTTTATAAGATGAATAACCTTCAAATTCTTTTACAAATGTTTTGAAACATTATAAAACTCTTCAAACTTCAAATCAATCTAACTTTCTATCTATTAGATACTCCAAAAATTATAAATTTACAGAAAGAATATTGGGGGCGGAATTGACATGTGGACTATTTGATCTCACTATAAAAAGGATTTTTATATGCTCACATTGAAATGGGTTAATGTTAATATCCGATTGACTTTAAATTTATACACAGTGTTAAAGGTTGTAAGATTGAGAAGCCTAATGATTTTCAACGATTTCCGAGAATTACTGCCAGAGATATGTCCCTTGTGCATATGGGGGTTGGATGGCTGAATGGTTAGCGTGCGCGTGCTTTATCATAAAGTCTGTCATTGAGTCGACTGGCGTGGTTTTGAATCCCCGGTTGTACGTGACAAGGAGTAGGGTCGCCTGTCCAACCTCGTGGGTTTTCTCCGGGTCCTCTGGTTTTCTCCCACTGCCAAAGACCCCTACGCGCAAGTGAATTATTGAAAAAAAATTAAACCATATATATTAGTCCTGAAATGACCTAGTTTGTCGAGTGGATGTTAAACCCAATTTCTCTTTCTCTCTCCCTTGTGCATATCGGACCGTAACTTCCTGGATTATGGCCCTTGATTGTACAAAAAATCACATTTTTTTTTTAGCTTGTTCTCTGTCCATCTCTTGGAAAATGAGGGTGTATCTTGCCTGGCAACCACTATTTTTGTTATTGCATTTCATTATTTTATTGTGATTATATTTTAAGGTAAATCATTTCTCCAATAAAACATGAATATCTATTATCTTGAAACATGTGTGCATTTAACTTTAGGAGATTATAATTAAAATTAAAGTTCTAACAAATTCAACTAAATATTAGAATAAACATACTCACCACATAGTAGTTATGAGCTCTTCAAAGAAAGATGATCTCAGCAAGGTCCATTTGCTTTATGACAAATTTTGACAATCTGTTTGATAAGTATTTTTCTATACTTATAATGACATTTTATTATATAATATTCACCATAAAATCAGCATGTTTTTGACAGTCAGAATGTTTAAAATTTGAATAATCCAAAATACCAGCTTTTCCATCAGTTTTGATTAAATTTTATTATTCATATTCCAATATTATCATCGCAAAATTCAATCAAATCAACTGCACAACATTTCTTTATATTAAGGTAATGATTCACTTCACCCAGATTTACATTTTATATGGGTAGGTCTATGATAATAAAATTTAACCTTTGAACTCTTGTTGTTATCATTTTGTCCCAATCACATCAGTTAATGAAGTGTGTCACAATGATTTAGTAGTGTTTTCAGCACATTTTAACTAGATCATCATAGCCTTTGGTTGGGCCTTATGTTCTCAGTGATTTTAATTTGGCATAAAACTGTAAAGTTTCTATGGTGTGGCATGTGTCATTGTTTTATTGTATATATAGTTTATTTGAGGTTCAGTTGGATATAAATCAACTCAAGATGTCAAGTGACCATATTGTGTGCAGTAATATTGTGTACGAATGGATGTGGTATGAATTATTCATGTTAAAAATGGAGAGAATAATTGAGAATTGTTTATTAATTGTGGATAGAAAGTTATTTATGATGGTTTATAGATATGTAATTATCAAGTATTTTAAAGAATTGTTTGAAAGGTTTATTATAGTGTTCACTGTTTTGTTATTATAACAGTTTAAAAGCTTACTGTCCAAAGGAATGAGTTGATTATATACAGGGGTTCTGAATGGGTTGCTATATACGTGTATTCATTATTGATTGAGCAAATCACTGCATCAAATATATTGTCTAACTATGTTGAACCTGGAAGCTCACTTCAGTCATTTTACTTTCATGTACTGGTGGTACACGTATGGCTGAGAGAGATAATATAAAATACAATGCAATGCAAACCCAATTCATTACTTTTATTTTGACTGAAATCAGGGAGGTTTAGGGAAGTGCCAATTTTCTAGAAGCAAATAAACTATGTTGGATATAAATCATATAGATCACAGTGCCCTTTTTAGCACACACAAAAAATAAAAAACTGAATCCTGGTGGAAACCCTTGCATATATTACAATAATATGTTTGTCCAGCGTTTGTTTTGGGATGTTTTATCAGATATTTTCTTGATAAAGGACTATCATAATATGAAGGGAAATGACCCGAGCTATAACTGCAGCAATTTTCAAGTCATTTGATTAATTTATATGCTTTGTTGCTATGGACTTTTGAATGAAAAACATATTTTCCGCATTTTTAATATTTGGTGACCATTTTCTCTATTTCTGACCTAGAAAAGGTTATAACTAACTTCTCAAAATTCTTTCAGATATCAAAAATTCCTCCAATTTTAGAAAGCTCTTGGTGTGCAGTTTTGAAATTTTGCAAGAAAAGTCTGTTTTTGCCAGATCCACTCATGTTTGTCAATGATATATTGTAATATATTGAAATTATACAGGTCACAATTCTATGGCGTACAATTTTATTGTTTACTAGCAGGATACCCTGCTTCGCTCGGGGGTCATAACTCCGAAACCGGAAGTGGTAGACTAACGCCACCTGGCCTATGTTACTCCCCGGTCCGAGCTACCCCTATACCCCAAATTTCAGACTCGGGGCAGACCTAGTGTAGCCGCCAACCCCGAACAGACAGACAGACAGACAAACAGACAGACAAACAGACAGACAAACGACAGTCACAAATATTAGTATAGATTACTGAGTTACGTTTCGGCTAGGCTTCTCTAGTCATTATCAAGTAATTGTATTCCATAGAATTGTGACCGATATATTCCAGTTCAATTACTAAACCGGATTTCCCCCCGCTGCTAAAGACCCCTATGCGCAAGCGATTTATGGAAATAAAATTAAACTGTATGTTAGTCCCGAAATGTCCTAGTTTGTGTTGAGAGGACATTAATCTGCATTTCTTTCTAAATTACTAAATACCATTGAAACAATATATTGAAATTATGGGGGAAAATTTCTGCTGTAAGGCACTGAACAAAAAACTGTTCTTGATCAATATTCAGGAACTTTTGAGCCATAAGAATGATGGGGTCCTGTGAGTCAGGATAACAATACCTTTGATCCTTATCAGACATCCAATCAAATATCTCCATAATAAAAACCTTTCAGAAAATTTCAAAAATTTTCCAAATCACTAATTTTGATTGGTAATCAATCACAATCTGTGCATTACTGAATGCATCCTATAAAGAAATGGCTTTAGACTAAATAAAGTAGAATATGAAAAACGGAATACAAAAAGGAATAAGATATTGGTATGATTTAATATTTAGACTGACACAAGGACATGTGGCCTACATGTATATACACCTATGATGTGCGTTGGTAGAAGATTACGATTTGAAATTTCGGCAAGTAAAGTCTAATTTCACTTTTGTGAAATATTTGATATCATTTTTTGATTTATAAGTCAAGGATGTGTATTCAGTGATAACACATAAGTTATAATTTAGACTACAACCAAATTTTTGTCTAGATTCAATCCTATTTTATGACCTACTATACTTACTTTTGACATGTATTAATTTCGAAGAAAGCAGTGGTGTCTCTCTGTCTGTCATACTTTTTGGGACACAATAACTTTCCTTCTAATTGAGCTAGAATGTTCAAACTTGTTGTAGGTGTTTATTAGGTGAATACCTTGATGAAGTTTGAAGATAAGCATTTTCTGCTTAGGGTAAGCAGAAATAAGCAATTGATGCATTGGGACACAATAGCTTTAGTTCTAATTAAGTGATCAAACTTGGTGTATAGTTTCATTACATCAATACCTTGACTAAGTTCGATAATGAGCATTTTCTGCTCAGGGTAAGCAGAGCGGTAAGCAATTTGATTGGTTTAGACTTTCAAGTTTGACAACTTTGATTCTAATTAGTTTCATTTTATCAATACCATAACAAAGTTCAATGCTGAGCATTTTCTGCTTAGGCAAAGTAGAGACTTCAATCTGATTGGTTGAGAATTTGGAACACAATAACTCTCCTTCTAACTGAGGTAGAATGTTCAAAAAAATTGGTGTAGATGTCTATTGGGTGAATGCCTTGACAAAGTTAGATCATGCACATTTTCCACCAAGGCTAAGCAGAGATAAGCAATTTGATTGGTTAAGAATTTGGAACACAATAATTTTGGTTCTAATTTGGTGAGAGCGATGAAACTCTTGAGTATAGATTCATTATATCAATACATTGACTAAAATTCGTGATTTCCCCCACCAGTCGGAAAAAGCAGGGCGCTATTGGAATGGTTTGTCTGTCTTGTCCGTCCACTGCTAGTGCTAAGACAAGCAGTGTGAATTGTCAATGATTTGGAAATTGGAACATAATAACTCTGCTTCTAATATTAATTATTGAGGTAAAAGATTCAAATTAGGTGAATTCAGAGATAAACAGTTTGATTTGTTGATGCCATGCAACACAATAGATTTGATTCATATTGAATGAGGTAATAAAACTTGGTGTATAGTTTCATTACATCAATAATGAGCATTTTGTAAGTGGTTGAAGCAGAGTTTTTAGCAATTTGCTTGGTCAATGCTGTAAAAAAAGATAAATGTGCA